CTCAATGGACTCATAAAGGGTGTTTGATTACTAGCCTATCTGGTCGGATAGTGCAGCAGAATACATGGCCAGTGTTCCCTTTAAGTTTGCCAACAAAAACTGCCTGCCTAATAACTCGCGTGAAATTCATGTGAGAAAAATAGAAGAGTCATTTTCATACGCATAAATTAAATTTTACAGACAAGAACTTCTCTCTTACCAGTTTTTACGTGGGATTCCATTGTTCAGTTTCACCCTGCGCTTTCTTTTCTCTTTTTTCCAGTACCAGCCTCATGAGAAAGTCCCAATCGTTAATTTGATCAAAGAGTATCGACATACTGTAAATCCTACTTCGTTAGTAATACTGGAAACTGATGTTGGAAGTATTCAGCTGGCTTCACGACCAACTCACCTCCCTACCAGTACCCTGAATCAAACTACATAAGAAACCCCAAGCACAATAACTGGTCTCCGATTTCTGGTCTGTCACAAATGCAGCAGAAGTCTGGATAAACAGTCAAACCCAAAAAATCACTTTACCTAACGGCAACACATCCATAATAATGCTGTGCAACGGATTTCTCTAGTACTTCGTCTTGTATCAATTCATCCAACAGAAGTCAATTAACAGCCAATTTATCTCCTTGACAATGCTGCATACTTTAATGTAAAGTCTATGAAGCTTTACATATGTGTAATATTCGCCACTGTTGAACGATGATTCTTCCAGACTTTAATTACTTGCAACACAACATATGTTTTCAGTGTTACTAATCTGAATTGCTAGGAACGGTAACACTTAAAGGGTGAGAAATGCCTGGACTCGGACATTCACGTGGATTATACGATTGTACGGATGCTTACTTATTCCCGAAATCATTGAAGTAAGTTATTGTTGGTCAATAAAGCTGCGAACGCAAGAATTACTGTTAAAATGGACGTCTGTCTGACGAAACAGTGGGTTTTGCAGATGGGTCAATCATGTCGGCTACTCGTAACGCAAATACCGAATACTGCGCTGTTTGATGTGGAAAAAGATTTGTGAGTAGGAATGATTTAAACTCAGAAGGATGCTTACGTACTGTAAAGTGATATTTTCCTGCTGTTTTCATAACATTTAGACATTTGGTATCATGATAGAGTTTAAATTCCTCCCTCTGTACCATACAAAACTGCTCAAACCTTTCATGTTTCTCTTCAGTTACCGGTTTGATGAGGCCCGTAAACCGGCTTCTCTCATGTTAACTTGATAACTCGAGGACGAAGATATTTACCTATTTACGAATGTCTCTAAAGAGCGTTCCCCTCACTGTTTTTAATCCTACTCTTCAAAAAAACCCACCCTCACTGTACACTACTCGCCGCATCAGTCCTAAAGGCCATTTATTTCTGTCCCAAATTCCAACACTAGCACGACTAAATTACCCACCTGGATATTTCTCCCAAAATTCGCCGTTTCACGCCTTTGCTGTAACGATGAAAGATGCTCCTTTGAACAATATTTCCAATGTATTTCTGCAAGACAATTAGCTTATCGTCCCTTAGATAGATGTTTACCCCTGTATATACTCACGAACTCTTCTAACTTGCATCTCAACAGTATCAACTCCGCTGAGGCTAGTGCTGTTAGGTCTCCGACACCAGATGTAGGTGGAATCACCAGACGGTTGTTGATTGTACGAACCGTGAGGATCTCAAACCCACCCCAGTTGCTTGCCCCCGGCGGACTGAAAAGCCAGTCAATGCCTCTTTCAGGCAAGTTACTGTTAACTAATCTGTGGCTCCACTCTCAGATGTTTATCCAGCGTGTCCTCAGCCTCTATTGAGTCAGACATCTTATCGCTGAATACCTCCCTTGGGTATCCTTCGGACAAATCTGAGGTGCAGTTCGTTGGTATGCCCCGTACGTCAATTTCTTGTACCGTCTGGATTCGTTCACGTTGAGGTATTGACTGTGCAACCTATAAACAGCTGCCGACCCCCTACTTAGACACGAAACTTCTCTAACGAAAAAATCCCGTAATCGGCCGAACAAAAAGTAGCGTCAGAGGTGTCAGCAGTAGAAGCTGGCTAATCTACATAAAAACTTTCATCGGGGACCTCTTTGTTTACGCTTTACGCTTTGCTGTGCGATACAGATGTCCACGGTCTTCCTGGGCGCATAGTTCACAGGGAAAGGCAACGAGACCACACTGAAATGGTTGACAGCCAACTGACATTCAGTGGCCTCTTGGCCTATGTTACCGCGCTTCCACGACGAGAGACAATAAGTTAGTCTGTCATGTTCTGGAATCCTGACTTGCGAGAACATTTTTTAAGCGAGTTGCATCAGTGGTAACCATAGCTGTAGATCTTAAGCGGACTCTGGGAAGGCTACTGACTTCTTCATATCTGTCAAGTAGACTGCCATCCTTCGCCAATCGTTTTCTTAAGCGCTGAAGTCTACGTTTAGTCACTCCATAGTTATCGGATCGACAAGGTTCTGCATGTCGTCAGGGTACCCCAATCTCAAAATGTTCATCGAGCAACCTAGAAAAACGACCCACAGTTTCCGTCGCCCTTTTACTCCCTACGGAAGGCATCATACCAGAACTGTCAATATATTCGAACTCATGATTATCTGACACATAGTTTTCCGATGGACAAGATGTCCTGGGAGTCCACTCGGCGCATTCAAACAAATATATTGCTCCCGGATGCCGGAGTTGGAAAAGTGAGGATATTTGGCCCTCAGTCGTAATATTCATCAGGATTATGGACCTCTGATACGGAATGGTATCAACATGCATGAATGATACAGTTCTGGAAGCACCAGTGAAATAAAATAGGTAAATGATTTGTGCATACGTCTTCCCATAAACGTTTCGCAATTATCTCAAGCAAAAAGTACAAACTGTAACAATGAAAGTGTTGGCTTCAAACTTTATTTTTCCTCAGGTAGTGCACGTAGTGTCGTGATACAGACCTTGTTTATGGTTAATGCGAAGACAGTACTTTTATTTGTCCAACTCGTAAATTTTCGCATACTTATTCCACTGAGATGTTTCATTATATGAACATGTGGCAACTATATCTTCTAGCGACAGTAGGTGGGGATTGAACTTACCTTCCATGAAGACACATGCAATTTAAATAAAACTTATTCATACCTGTAAAAATGATGTGTGCCTGTATATTCAAGAATAGATATTATTATTAATGCTGGCAAAAGGCAGTCCTACGTGTGGACTTATCTTGATTCGGGCCAAACACGACCCAACCCAAATGTGTTTTCCTGCCAAACGGCTGATTTCTATCTCCAGAACGCTGTTCCACGGCCCAGCGTGCATTTGGAACATCACAGTCGGTTGGAATTCCGACAGTGCCACTACGCAGTTGGGGTAATTTGATGCCCCTTAACGGCTCCATGTTTTAATCCGTCGCTCAGCATCAGCACACCCGATATTGGCATGTGACTGACTATGTGAGCCCCTTGCACTTTCACTGGACCCCACCCATCCAAGCAGTATGGTTCCACACTCCCTTCTAGGCATTCGTGCTGGGAAGTCCCAGTCCCGGTGACCACACTCAAGAAGGACTCCCTACCTATAGGGCCTTGGCAACGTGTTGCAGCATCAATGACACGTCCTGCCCGTTATCCAATAAGATGTAGTTCGCGCTACGTACAGTCTTATCACTTGTTGAGTGATTAGTACTCTCCACCAAACTGCCATGCGACCTTGTGCCAAATTGTGAGTCAGAACTCTTCACATGATGGGGTAAAACTACGAAGGAAAGTCTCAAGTAAAGAGGAGGGCTTTCCCACATGAAGATTTAACCCGGCTTCAAAACTAGGCGAACAACTATAGATTTGCATTCAAGTCCAAGCTTCTGAGTCTAAGATACAGCGCATTTCATTCAAACTGTCTCAGGGGCACGAAAGTTGAAGCTTCATTCTCAGGGAATGAATTGAGAGATTTAATCCCACGAAACCTAAAATACTATGCCTAGTGAGACCAAGACGTATTTCATGCAAAGTTGATGGCAGTAGCCCCTATATGAAATTTCGAACAGCTTGATCGCAGTTTCAGAATCGTTCCTACGCGAAGTTGGCAACCGTAGAAACCAGTCACTAACCCGTTATGCTTGTAACATACGCATCGGTGGCTGACCCAGATGGAACGTAATAAGCTAGTAAAATAGAAAAGGTGCATATTATAGACCTTACCAAAACAATGATATGTTCCCACTAGACGCCTAGGGGATTGTGCATGGGCGATGCAACGTAACGCTTCAATGTACTAAATGGAGTGGAAGCTTGGCCAACTCCCTTCAGCTTACCCAGTCCGTTGAGACTAAGAATGTCAGCCTCAATGTTGAATCTGGTCGAAGTCTATGCCACTGAATTTGAAGAATTGTCTTCCACTACGGTTTGGACCACCACCAGATTTGTAAAGGATTCAAATGGCTAGAGCCAGGGTTCGGGACGACATTTTCTCACCCTCACTGCAGAAAGATGAAAGATGAAGTCGATTTAATCTTTCCAGGGACTAGGCTCAAAAAATAAACCGAACAACTGATAGAGCTTGATCTGTATCCCCTGGGGCTTAGACGATCAAGAGACAGCTTGATAAGGGTACATAATATCATAATCACCCCTCGACAGCAACTTGGGGACTCATTCATCGATCGTTATAACACTAGTCTCTGGCGCCATACACAGAAGTCGGGCCTTGAACAGACGACTTTAGATATCAAACACAAACCCCATTTCCTAAGAGTTTTCGGCGTTAGAGTGCTTTCCTTTCAGAGACAGTCTAGGTTACTCTGTCTAAGCTCTTTAAATATTGGCTTGGAGTCCATTTTTGACATGCACATGAGTTCAATCACAACAAGCTCCTCCTGATTAACCGCCATCTTTCTCTCCTTGTTTGTTTTGTATATAAGCTAACATCTAAAAACATTTGTTTTCAACTAATTCTAGACAGGGAAACCAGATAAACGGAAGCATCTAGTTCGTCACTTTTCATTTAAAGCCGTTTGTTTGAGTGCACGACACGTTGCCACTTCTTTAAACGTTTCGCTCCTTCGTTCGGGGGATGTTAGATTTCTTCGTAATTATCTCAAAAGGAGGGATCCGTTTGTGGTGTTTCCCCGGATCGACCGATTTATTCAGGCTTTCAATAAATACATTCCTAAAATCACTCATTTTGGAGGTTTTTTGTGGTTAGTGCTAATTTTGCTCTTAAGGAAAATGCCGGGCGCTCACCTTTTGTATGTGACTCTAGAGCTATGAAATTTTATATGGACAATGAATTTAACCTATTGTTCGTTGTAAGTCCCCTAGTTGAGGTGATATCTTTAGGCTGCATACCAAAATGTTCTTCAGCTAAACTACGTGGATAAGTTTTTGACAGACATCGCTTTGGAGTTTAGAGACAAGTACAAAAACGAGCTTGAAAGTCATAACATCACTGGGTCCTTTGAAGAGTTTCTTCCCATTTATCAGGCCGTTCTTAAACAAACGGAGGATGAATTTCGGAACGTCCGCAAAAGTGCCAAGTAAGTTGAAGGATGACTCAAATCCCTTCTCAGACAGATGCGGAAATTCGAGGACTCTGATAAGTCAAAAAAGACAGTTGCCTCCATGATTGTTCGGAAAGGCAGAAATAATGAAGGTGACAACAAGGATGTTCCAGTCGTTTCGAAGGAAAAACCAGTTTCTATTGAGTCCAGAGCTAATGGTATCATTTGTTTCAGTTTGTGACCAAGTTCTTAGAGCCTTCAGCAGATGACATTGATACTTTTGAACAGAATAGAATCAAATTGGCTGCTAAATTCAAGGCTTCGAAGAAAAGTAAAGAATCTAAAAGGTACATTTCCTGCTTATCTATCTCACTCCTCACCTCTTTAACTCCCTATTCATTTTTATTCCTATGATGTTTTAATTGAAATGAAACAAAGTTTAAGGGTGTTGTAGAATATTGGTAGGTAGTAAGTTAACTCAATGAGAATTAAACTCATAAATGAGTGAGTCCGACTTCGGGCTCACCGAAACAATTGGAAATTAGTTTGTTCATTATTCTATCCTACATAGGCAGATAGATAAGATCAATATAGGAATCCTTTTGTACACTTGTGCAATCTGAGATACTTGTCTAGGGTGGTTTGGAAGGTTTTTCCGCCAGTTTTGTGCTTGATGTTCTTGCTAGAACAGATTTAGTATGGGAAAAGGTCCAGGGCAGGTAGACTAGGATTCGGCACCACTCCATGGACTGACTACTGTTGTCAATAAATACAACCAGTGTTGCACACTGAAAACTGCCTGTGTCCAAGAACCTGGCGAAGGGTGAGTATTTGGCGGATGCACCCATGACTGCGTTTGAAACCTGTCTGGTTTTGTTGGGTTCGCTGTTTTGCGGCATCACTTGCAAGTTTACTGATTGTAGAATCTAAAATCTGTGGGACTATTTCAGATGGATTCCCCTGTGGTTAGCATAGGTTGATCTCTTGAAGAGTAGAAAAATCAAAGAGGATCATATCTGATTCCAATACGCTAGTTACAACTTTTGGTTTAACCAGTAATCCCAGCCATCGTCCCTAAATACCTTTGGTATTAGTTCATCTGAATCTGCCACACTCTTGTTGCAGGTTACTTACAGCCTTTTCCGCCTATGCAAAAGTTGGAGGCCCTATCTCAATGTTGCATTTGGGATCCAACTGGATAGCGAGTAAGAGAATAGTAACTGCAGGTCAACTGAACTGTTCCTCAAATTGTTCTGCTCATTGTCCCAGCCGTCTCCCCTGGAAGTGGATCTCAAACTAATCCTTTACTATCATCTTGACAACCTCTTCTGCATAAGTTGCTTTGATCGGCCCATTTCCTGTCGCCTCAGCCTTTGGTACCCACTACTCTTCATGATTTTAGGCTAGACTTCTTGTCAGCCTACGTTTGAGTTGCTTCCACTGTTCACTGCGCTCGGATCCTTGCAGGAAGGCGTTCACGTGCACACATGAATTCAGAAGAAAGCTTCCGAGATCCACTGGCCTTTTCTAACTACTTACAGAGATCCAGCCAAGGTGTGTAACGATGTTTTTACAGTGAACTAGAGATATCTCGGGGTTTCTTCTGAGTGAGTGTTGTTTTGTACTGACAACTGTACAACCATTTGCGTGCTGAAAGTAGCTTTAGAATTCTCATCCTGTTGCTACATTTCCCCCGCATACATTATGCACCATCATTGACTAAGGTGATTTAGACGTGTTGCGGGTAGTAATCATCCCCTACCTCAATATGCCATGTTAGCTGAAGTAGAAAAATGTCGGAAGAGAACTAAAAATGACCAAACCAATATGCACAACTCAATAAAAGCTTTGACTGTGGGGTTGGGACCTTGGGGGCGCTGACTATCCGTCCGTAGTCCTTGATAGGAATCAGTAGTTGGAGACTTTTGATGATATGGCTCAAAATCATTCACAGTGACAAATGTATACACTGCTTGTCATCTTTTTCTGTTCACGTTTTTGCACACAATTCGAGGATGGCAGCCAGATAATTTAACCTGTAATTCATATCACCAGTTAGTGACTGCATCGTTTTTTGTCTCAATCTGGCTACCCACAACTCAGCCAACCTAATTCCATTTCATTTGATATTATACATTGAGTAGGTGACTTGAAAGGGTCACTTCATAAAGTCATCTTCCAGTGGGCATTTGACTTAACATCCACGGATGATTGCTTTACATATGAGCAACTCTAGGACGACCCGTGGTCAAAAATCAATGTCATTTGCATGCCATTTAATTTTCCTAGTTGTCTCACTACTTAAGAATAATGTAGGGTTACAGTTGGATAATGCGTATGGTTTTGAGATGTCTTTAGCTGGCAAACAATTAGAAAACATTTTGTTTGTACTGGCTAATTACATCACTCCGGCTTGCAATCTTCCCCGATAGTGGTGTGCATAAGTTCTTCGTCCCTTTAGAGGATACTTTGCAGGTTCTGTTCTTGCTTTATTTTGTCTATGGTTCATTTTGCGTTCCATCTGTCTAAAAGTTAATTGCTTTGATCGTACTGGTACTTCACACTTACTGCAACAACATTCCGCAATTCAGTTCGTAAGATACATTTAAGTGTCTTCCATATGCTTCCAGCAGAAATATATGTTTGACATACGTTGTACACCTGTCAAATGTAAGATGAGGCTTCAGGAGTGATCTACATCAACTCCTAGTTGAGGGTTAGTGAGTAAGGTTGTTGAGTGCGTTAATTGCTTCACTTGGGAAGCTGCATCACCCTAAATGGATTACTTCCTGACAAATCGTAAATCTGATATCTCTGTTCCCGGATGGCGAGAAATCTGAATACATATTAAAGGACGAGTATACTGTGCTGCAGTCTGTTCTGTCCTTCTGTATGACTGAGATAACCGTAAAATCAAATATGACGAAACTATAGGTCTTTGACCACGTGTATTTTTGTATCATTGTTCACGTGTAGTGGAGTCATGGTGTGAATGAGGTTAGACTTAAGATACAAAAGAAGAAAGGCTACTAAGTGAATTAAATTATAAACATTCATCAATTGGGGTGTTTTAAACATATATTTCTCATGCCCAAGCAGTACTTACATTGACGCACAATATTGATCAAAGTAGGTTTTGACTAGAAGAAGGTTAAGGATGGCCACTCCAAGACTTTGTAAAGGTCTATGAATCCTACATGGTTGAGGCCATCGAGATGACGATAACCAGTGGTTTGAAACCCTTTTTAGGATATGGCTAAAAATTGATCACAATATTTCAGATGTACGCGCTGTCATTTTTTAAGTTTCGAACACTGTTATTACCCTTCATTTATTTACCCTCCGATCTTTCATACAATTTTGTTCGCAATAACATCATTATTTGTGTATCCACTCTTTATCTGCATGTTGTGAAAAGTGGCGACTTGAAGCGATGCACTTCTGTCGTAGGTCCTACGGTGATTTGTCTGTATATCAGTTTTACCAGTTACTTCATTAAATAGTGTAGACAAATATTCACTATATTCGAAAGATGTCATGTAAATAGTGATGAAAGTCACTCACTGCTTTAAAAAAGCCTTTAATCATGAGCACTAGGATTTTTGTGACTTGTGACACCATTTCAGCGTGCTTACTTTTACTGTTGGGGAGAACTGTTCGGTTTCGAAATTGTCACTACACTTTCTAAAAGGTAGTTAGGCTTCAGTCACTTAAAATAGGCTTCTGTAGATTGTTTCCACAAATACCAAGCCAAAATTGGTATTCGAAATCAATGGAAATATATTTCACCATGGTGATTTGTGGTGAACTGCTTTGTGTGCTGTTTTTAACCTCAAAATGGATGCGTTTCCTTCACACGTTTCTCGTTATTCTGCTGAAAATGTGAAATTCGGAGTATCTGAAAACTACCCACGATCTCACAACTGTATAAGACAGTACGTGGCTGGTAAAACTAACGTAAAACCTCGCACATAGGTGCTTCACCTCAAGTTGCCACACTTCGCAGTAGTGCACAAAGAACAGGTAGGTAGAATAAAGGGTAATACCAAAGTAAACAAAGTTGTGTGAAAGTATAAACAATCGGAAGATAACGGCTAATGCGAATATCCAGGTTTTAGATGTCTAGGAGTGAATACATCTGTGCCATTGTGACCAATTTTCATCCATGTCACCAACAGCCCTTAACCACTAATTCCTATCGTTTCAGGAAACCCAGCGAGGCATTCTACGTGTTCCCACACATTTCAGACTAACAGTAAGAGACTTCATCGACTGGTCCCAGATGTTGATCTGTCCACTTTGAACCGTCTTCCAAAGTAACCCAACTTTCCGTAGCATGGCATGTTGAGGTAAGTGGTAGCTTGGTGCGCGCAGTACATGTCCAAGCCATCTTAATCGACTAAGGTTCGCAACCTCATCGATCAAATTACCTGTCTTGCCTAGTACCCTTCACCTGACCTAAACATTGCCCACACTGTAATTCCACCAAACTTGAGCAATGCTGCGAAGATGCCTGTGATCCAAACTTTGTAACCGCTGTATATCATCCACGTTCAATGGCCATGTTCGCTAGGACAAAACGGACTGCAGCGCAATATACTCTTCCTCTGATAAGTAGTCGGATATCTCCCTAATTGGTGCCACATGACGCAAGTTGGCAGATGCCAAACTGGCCTTCTGTATCCGAGCTGAGATTTCGTCAGCAGCCAACCCGTTTGGCCTAATGCAACTCCCCAAGTAAAGTAAGTGAAGTGGTTGACATATTCCACCACTCTACTTATCATTAAACTGGGGCTACCTGCAACAGACCAGTCCTGGAACATCATCTTACATTTGATAGCTGCCAGTGAAACGTATGCCAAACGTACTCAGATTTCTGCTAACCGCTTTTAGAAGAGCCTCCATTTTGTCAGCGTCTTCATCTAGCAGGAGAATATCGTCTGGATACTCCAAACCAACAAGATGACCTCCTAAGTGTAGGTCAATCCCTGCGAAGTCTGACGCGCCTGAGGTAGTGTCCATTAGTACGTTAATGACGAAGTTAATTAGGAACGGTGACAGCGGGCAACCATGACAAACATCACTATTTGTCGTCAATCTACATGACAACTCTTCGTAAGCCCTGATACGACCGCGTAAGTTTCAGTATAGAGCTGTGATAAGCGTTATATACTTGCTCGGTACTCCCTTCAGAGTCAGTCACTGCAACAACACTTCGCAGTTGACTGAGTCAAATGTTGCCTTCAAACCAAGACATACTGCTAGTGTCAGCCTTTGGCCGGTAGGTATGCCTCTGTCGGGGAGAAAATATGTGATCGATACACCCTCGTCCAGGTTTAAAGCCTGCCTGGTTTTCTCCAGTTTGCTGTTCTAGAGCTCCAGCTGGACGTCGGATAAATATGGACCCTAGGATTTGGGATACTATTAGTCAAACTAGTTCTCCTATGGTCGTCACAGGAAGACTTCTCTCCCTAAATAATCAATGAAGTACACCAGTCAGACGACCCTACCTCTGATTCCCATACAGCAGCACGAATAATCTTCTTAGCTGTCTTTTGTGTAATCTAGGATATCGTGTAAATGCCTATAATCCTTTAGCTGGTTATGTCGAATAGCATGAAAGTTTGCAGTTTTAGAAAGCTCTATCGTTCTGTGAACAAGTTCCAATTGTTTTGATATAGCTTGTAAGTGTCTATCGTTGGTTGAACCGAATTGATCGGGCACTATTGAAATATGAGCTCGACGACAGATATTTGCAAGCTATAACACCAAAACTGTACTATGTCCTTCGAACAAGGAGTGGCTATCGTGACTCAGTGGCTCAGTGGATAACGCTCTCGTTTGAAGTGATTTGTCCTGGATTCGAGTCCTAGGAGGGACAAAATCACTCACTGGGAGCCAGGTACTTTCAGTTGATGAGTCTAAAATAGAATGAAACGCGCATCCTTGATCCCACTGTTAACCACTATCTATTAATAATATCAAGATTCAATTGTGTTTTTAATACCCGTGAGCAAAGTGGTCTAACAATTTTCAACCTAAGGTTATCATTAAAATGCCCTAGATAGCATCAACTTCTGCGCTGATTATATTAGTTAGCATATCCTTACGGGTAGGGAAACTACTTTCTACCGATTGCTTTTGAACCATCCAACACCAAAGTATGCCGCAATATCAAGTTATTTAAATTAATTCCACACATTAAACTTGATGGATAGAATATAGTCAGCTCTTGAGATCAGACAACATAATATTCGTCATTTTTAAGTGTCTAATCAATCTTCACCCTTTTTTCGGGTTCACTGTAAAAGATATGAACAAGTCCACTTGAATTACTGTGCATTTATCGGAACCCATTGGTAGTTAGTGTGTCAACGTCGCCTTACTGCAAACATATTTGACTTTTATATTGCCATATTGTATTCTTTTTTCGCTATATCCTTATAGCCCATCATCATCACCTATTCAAAAGCCTAATGGAAAGCGCATCAAAGAGAGCCGTCGATGGGATAATGCCGCAACTGGAGAGGAAGCAGCTGCTTTAGACTTTAGTAATGCGAATCATACAGAAAAGGAAAAGACGGAGTATAATTTTTCAGCAATGGAGATAGAGACACTATCTCGTCTTCGTGGAACTATGAAAGATGATTTAGACGAAGTTCATGTATCCTCAGACGAAGAAGACTTAGAAAACTTGGAAATTGAGGAAGATACAGCAATTGAGCAAAACGGTGTACAGGCTGATTGTCAACCACGAGAAAATACATCTCAAAACGGACAAACGAAGGTTTGTCAAAATACTTTTTAAAATAACGCGAATGAATGTGCTTGATTATTTGGATGTCTAGGGAAGATTGTAATACACATTTCGCTTCATGTTCCCTGTAAATGTGATGGGATTTACGCCCAGCTGTGTGATCTGAGTTAGGAAATAGTTTTTTATGAGTGTCGTTTATCTGTTCTCATCACTTGGTTGGTGATTGTTATTTCTAAGTCAATTAGTATCTTCTTTTTTGATCGAATTTCCCCACACAAAAATATATTATCTCCAACATATGATACGATGGAGTTGTGGCTCAGGGTGCTGACTATCAACCATTGGGTCACGGATTCGAACCCCTCTCCACCTACCAAGGTTTGGGCAGCCAGGTAGTATCACCAGCCCTCTCACAATAGGTGGGGTCCATCGCCTACTGCACGGGTGTGCACAAGGTGTCTAAGTGCGTTTCTTTCAGCTTTTTCCAACATATGATTAACACGTGTCACTTTGATGTCCAGCAATGTATAACTTACTTTCCTGTTCAGCTAGATTTCCGTAGTTTGACGTTAAAGTTACTAACAATTCTCCTCTTCCCTTGTCTTCCCGGCTGCTATTAGGGGGGTACAGATGCATACACATTTGTAGTAGATAAACTTTCTCATTACTTTTATGAGTCACGGCGGGACTTTTCAGCAGTAGCTAACACCCGGAATTCAGTTTGTCATAAATATATTTGTAATGAGTATATTTATAATAAATTGGTTCTCTGCACAAATTTTTCGGGGGATATGATTAACCCGGAATTCAGTTAAGAGCTGCACTCTCTAGCGTTTATATCGCTTTCCTACTCATACTTCTTACTAGACAGGCTCAGCAGAAGCATAATACCAACCTACTTTACCAACGATTACTGGGAGATCATGTGCGAATATTTCATGAAAGGATGTGTAACATTTGAAACGATCGGTCATGAAACACTGATTTATCCAGTTCAATCAGGATTGTTGTGAGATGGGTCTTTATAAAACATTGCGAGTGGAATAGGTGAGTAGCTGCACATGAATGTCAATCTTTCAAGGACTATGGCCAAACGCATTCTTCGGTCTCAGTACATCACTTAGAGGTGTTTATCCATAAAAACCAGTGATCGCCTGTTTGGCCGGTACTTATAACCCATGGCTGAGCGAGTGAAGATAACCGAGTATTCGACCTACGTAAGTCTAACGAAGAAAAGTTTCAGCAAATACATCATTGACAATCACCGTTGCACTCATGTCGAACATGCTTTAATATCATTTATAAATTGGAACAAATTGTCAGGAAATCTTGTTTACCTGTTTTTAAAATAGTCTGGCTATCTTACTGGTGGATTCGCTTCAAGCCTACTGCGTGGTTTACGCATTGCTGGAGGTTCTGGACGTGTCTTGACTCAAGAAGATATTACACCTTGTTTGGAACAGCTCAGAGAACGTCTTGTTAGTAAAAACGTTGCTATGTCGATTGCTGAACGCATTTGTTCTAGTGTGGCGGATCGTCTGGTTGGTACATCACTTGGAACTTTTGGAAGAATTTACCCCCGTGTTCGAGCCAGTCTGGAAGAAGTTTGTTCTCGCATTCTAGTTTCTGGTCGTCGTGTGGATGTCCTTCGCGATGCACTGGATGCGCGTACTCAAGGAAGACCTTATAGTATTGTTTTCTGTGGAGTTAATGGCGTTGGGAAATCTACAAATCTGGCAAAGGTATGTCAACTAATTAAGTGAATTATCCATTTGCTTTATTCATGTCTCGGAAGTACTCTGGTTTACTAAATACAAACAGCTGATGATATTAATTGGCAGCTACTACTTCCTGATTACAGTTTTTGTTTTGTCATTCATCATTACACACTGTAGTGAGAACTACTACGAATGCCTTTCAATAGTATGTATCTGGCAACTTCAAAAGTGATCAGCTGGTAAGGAATCGAGTAAAATGAGTACGCAATACTGTATAGGAACAAATGTAAAAGGCAAGAACAATGCAGAATGAGATGCAAAAGAAGAGATTATTTGCAAATGGATACCATACTGTAAGGTTTATTATGGATATTATTTGATTGGAAGCAATTAAAAGGGTCTCCTGGGCCTAGGTTTCGTGCTTTTTGGCGCTTGTCAGCAAGGCGCGCCTGCAAAATCGAGGGAAGTGAGTTCCCCTCTGGGATTTGAACTCGCGTCACCCAATGTTTCTATCTTGTTTAGCTTTGAAATAGATGATAAATGAAATAATTGACGTAGACTTTATTATTGAACTTTCTTTTTTGCGAACTATTAAGTAAGTTTTGTTTCAACAATTTAACTTCACCTACTTGATGCTTTACAGAAAAATTTCCATTCTGTTACTTTTCTTACGTGTCTGAAGAGGTCACCTATATATTTGTTTTTTACCTGTGAGCATAAAAGCAGCTTACAATACAAAATTTCCTCCCGAATCTTTTTCAACTCAAATTTTTTTCCTTTCGTTAGTCGCTACGTTTAAACGCGTGCAAATTTCGATTTCGACCACCTCGCAAATTGGTAATAGTATTTGCAGTTGCCGAAATCTCATGAATATTTTTAACGTTGTTAGATAATGTATCATTTGTGAGTCAGCAATAATAGAGCTTTCAATGTTTCAAAAGTTTAGTATCTCTTACTAGACAGGGCTAAAAATTCATTTATAGTAGATCATTTACAGGTGGTCCGAATCACTGCTTGCTTGATATCATACCTCACTGTAATCATTTTTCTGAGGAATGCGGAAAGCAAACATCACAGGTCATTAGAAAATTTATTTTGGTTTTAGTGAGTCTCAGTTGTATGATAGTATTTCCCATACTATGGTTCATTGTATGACTCTACCGTTCAATTTATTTGATAAAACAAAAAGGTCAATATACTTAATGATGAGTTTTTCCAGAGCATCATCTGTATCCAGTGATACTTCCTAACGGGCGATTATAAGTTTATGCAGAGGGATTAAAATAGAGATGAGTAATCCAGTTTATTTTTGAAACGAAAACAAGTTAGGATATTTCTGAGTTTGCTGAACTACCAGGTGTTTAGAACCGTAATGCTGAAGTAAAAACGAACTAAAAAGAGTCCTTCGAGTAGTTGAAAACGTATAAAATATTAGATCAATTGGCTGTTATCATTAGCCATCTACTAAAATTCAGACTTTCCGATTTAGTTTCTAGGAATATGATAAATCAACTGGGTATGAGGATGTCAAATTACTGGACTTAGTAAGTACATAAGTGGGCGTTAATAGCTTACATTTATAGCTTCCCAATTAAAAAGTCAACTAGATGCAAGTTTCTACAGTAGACACTGAGTCACACGTATAGTGGGATGGTTGAGGATACTTACTGACTAACTAAAACTCAGATGGGACCGAATTCCAACCCGTAACTCATTGTTTGAAAGTCGACTGCTTAAATCAGACAGATAGACAAAATCAGCGTAGAACCTCGCACACAAGTCCATCGGTTCAAATCGCCACAGGAGTATAAAAACAGGTGGATAGAAAAAGAGTGATATTAAAATAAAGTTGCGTGAAAGAATAAACAATTTGAAGGTAATGATTAGTGCAAATAATCAAGCTTTAAAAGATGTCAAGGAGTGAATACATCTGCACCATTGTGACCGATTTTTCCCTAACCGATAATTCGTAGTTTTTTAGAAACCCCAGCTCGGACCAACAATCAGAGACTTCATGAACTGGTGCCACACCTTGGACCCTCTTCCAACCTAATTACCTAAATGACTCAGTAACAGCTTCACCTTCACAGTTAATATAATTTACCGTACTCTTCACTCAGGACGAAGGCTAAATACAGATAATAGGTAACTGTGTTAGAGATGCTTTATTAAGTTATTATGTATAGAAGGCTATTCTAACAAACCCAAGTGACATATCTAAGATTAGATAAACTTACATTTAATGGTAGCCTCTTTTTTGTATATCCTTATTACTTGTCATCAACTACCATCCACCTAGAAATGTGTTTAGTGAACCTGAAGTATTCTGGGAAAATCCTCAAGTTTACTGATAAAATTATGTATAAATCTCTAAAATGTACTGTTGCATCTGCTAACATCTAGTGTCAGCATCAATTACAAGCTAAAAATCCTAGGAATATACATTTTCGTATTATCTGCGTTCAGCCATCAAATGCAGCTGTTACACAATACCATCATCACCATCAATATCAACATAGGACCAGGCATTACTACACAACGGTCCGAGTTGCCACAATTCATATCAGTACATCAAGTAAAAAGGGCAGTGAAGTGCAAGATGAAGATAAGAAAATCCAATCAAAAGAAATAAAAAGTACGAAAAGAGAGAAAGGAAGAATGACAAAATGATGAGATTCGGTATAGCGTCGTTAAGATGAAGATACTGTGTGTATACATCTGCGCCACTGACATCGGTTCTAAGCCATATTACCTACAGTCTCCAACCAGCATAATACCATAATTCGTGGCTGCTGTGTATACTTAATAGGTATTCACATACGTTACTGGTAACCTCACTTTCTACACATGTGATGAGTATTTGTCAGTTGTTAGTGTTAATTTAACTACCGGCTTGAAGAAGTCAATGAACTCATTGTATAGGATGTATTTTTACTTGTGTAATCCCGGCGTAGTATATTAGAACAAATAACTTTCTGTACCAAAACTTGAATATTAACCTGAAAACTTAGTGTCAGGTTCATACTCTTAAAAAGGATCTTCCTAGCAAGATCGAAACGTTGAGGAATAATACAAAATATTTGTTTATTTTGTTATTTGTTCTAATATACTACGCCGGGATTACACAAGTAAAAGTGCATTCTATACAATGAATCATACTAACTCGGTGCCCAAGTTTTTTCAAACCACCCAGTCCATTGTTGGTCAGGATGCCTTCATGTCAATGGACTATCGCAACGATTTCGTTATCTATAGTTAGACTTAACTAAATAATAAATGCACCCTAAATGTTAGGAAATCCGGTTGTTTTCAGTGACTGTTTTGAGTCAGATGGTTCGGTGCTCCAAAACTAAGCAGACGATTCAGTTCAAGTTTCTGAGGAAATTAAGTCGAACCACTAATACAAAATTCATGAAATCAATCTCTTTGTGAGTATTTAACTGCATAGCTTAAGAGTGAATTGTCAGCTACCAAACCTTATGGTTGATGAAAAACCCTAACGAATAAGAATATTCAGGTTACTTAGTTTTTTGCACATTCATTTTACCGTTATTGAGCAACGAAAATGTGTTGTTTGTGTACATTCCATATTGGTCATTAGTGGTGAGTTTTCAAAGGTCATGCATTTTGTTCCCGATTGAGTTTATTCACTGTAAAAAACTTATTTACATTATTGTGGTGTTGTCTTTCGTAAAACTTACTTTCCCGTTATTAACCATGAAACCCTCTGTCCCTCGTTTTCTAGATTGCTTTTTGGCTTATTGAGAAGAATTTCCGTGTCCTTATAGCTGCCTGTGATACTTTTCGTTCTGGTGCTGTAGAGCAGTTGCGTACTCATGTACGCAAGTTAAATTATATACATCCAGCTGATCAACATGGTGGGCAGACTGTGGTTGAGTTGTATGAACAGGGTTATGGTCGTGATGCTGCTTCAATCGCACGTTCTGCTATTAATTATGGTATGTGAATACATTTTTATATTTTACAGTTATATATTTTCTCGAATTCTGTTTATCTTGTTGGTGATAGCTACCTGAGTTTACTACAGGGTAGGCTTCTTGTCGAATGCAATTATCCTTATCATCCCCATGTGGTACAAGACCTCGTCAAATGCAGCTATCCTAAACAATCTAACTACTAAAATCTCTTTTGTTTCCTCCAGTGAAATATTCTTGTCGTACGTGTAGTAAGAGCGTGATGATTTGCAGAACTGATTCGATCAGTTAACTGATCTATCAGTTATTTTTTTTTGAATACCTCAGCATAGTAGCCGACCATATTTTTGATACTTTTTTGCACCGATTATCGGCGCTATCCATGATTGCTAGATGAGGTTGTGAACCATCACTGACTAAGGTAACTTGGAAATCCTAAGCCACTGCCTATCTGGATCTCAACGCATGATGTTAACCGAAGTGAGTTTATCCTGGGAAAGGACTAAAGATAACCTGTTTGTGAAGTCCCTGACTGCTGATTTGAACCGTGTAGGAGAGTGTAGGCCTAATGACTGGGGTCATCGAGATGATGGGAACAAATAACTAGGGACTGGTTGTGCATTCGTCCAGTTGGTTGCATAATATTCTATTTTAGAATACACATACTGCTCTTATTTAATTTCTCAAGTATCCTCGGAACCTTTGGCGGAATTCGTGTGTTAACGTGTGACCTGATTGAAAAATCTTAATGATTGATTTACAGCATGATGAATGTAACTCAAGGATGATTGTTGTCGCTAATAAAATTTTTCTTTCTATTATAAACCACAAGGTAGCAGTACTTCTACTTCGTATTCCCTGTCTGCGTATTTTTCTATAAATGATGTTGTATGTCTTCAGGACTCGTGCTTGACTAGCTCGTGGTCATCTACAATTTCACTTTCGCTTTATTGTAGGAGTAATGAACACTTGTGATGTTATTATAATAAACAATTCAACTCACACCGGTGCATGTCTACGTGCTAGGCTTTGGACCATACTTGTTACGGAAGGGCTTTTAATACTACTCTAGTGCTTTAACCGAAGTAGAGGGAACGGCTTTCAAACCCGAGCCCCGTTGCTTGAAAGTCCAGTCCCTGAGTCAGAGCCGCATCCCCACTACAATACACACATTCTCCCATTGTTGTCAGTAATAATACTTGGCCATCTGATGTAATTATCTATGACTGGAATCAACTAATAAATTAGCAGTTTTTGAACTCAACTTGTATTATTTTTGGAAGGCAACTTATCTTACACCAAGATTATCGCTTTCTCTTCAATTTAGATTATATGTTTATACTTGCAGACATGAAATCTGTACCGTATCTGTTTTCTGTTGCTGCTTGCGTTTGATATGAATTACTGCATATAAATTCTAATCTATACTACTAATAGATGAATCGCTTTATTTTCTGATCGATAGCTCGTGATCGTCATTTTGACGTTGTGCTTGTGGACACAGCTGGGCGTATGCAAGATAACGAACCATTAATGCGAGCTCTGGCCTCAGTATGTCAAACTGTTTTTTAAAAAGTTGTCCTAAATCTTAGTATTGTTGCCTAATTTGTATTATGAATTAGACAATTTTTAGCTGTTGATGGATGTTTTTCGAATACAAAACACACTTGTAAAAAACAGCTGTCCAATGCCGTTTTATTAATAAAAACTTGAGAGAATGATACTCCAAATCAACCGGTAACTTGCTTTTGGAAAAGATTCTGCATATTAATACATAATTCATAGTGACCAAAACATAATTTACTTAAAGATCGTCTACTCAAATGGTCAGCAGAATATTCTTGGCAACTATATTTCAATCGATCCTTAAAAACGGTATACTGTTATCCATATGCTTGAAATAAATCTCTTCTTTGGGTTGTGTTTATTTACACCTATCAGTTCATCTAATGTTGTGGACCAAAGAATCAGTGACAATAACCAGCTTTCTCTCCATATATAACAACGTATTCCAGCATGGTTTTATGCAGATAAAAAATATGGTTAGAATTTTCGTCATCAACAACTTGATTTACTTCACTTATTCAGTTATTTTAATTAGTTTCTAGAATTCCTCCAAGGATTATGAGACAACTTCGTATCTACATTTTCGACATTATCTTAGTCTTTTAATACCTACGAAACTGATGCCTAAACGAAAGTATATTCATCAGCTTCGGGATCAAAATTTGACCTAATAGAGTTGAATAAGTTAAGCACTAGGCAAATGGTTTATCGATTAGATAAATTTTGTAAAATCATTGGGATTTTACACAATCCATTTTCTTTAGATTCTACTAATGTTTTGGAATGATATTGCGTCTCTTGAAATCATAATTACCACTTTACTTAATTAGTTAATTCGAATTCATTACATGACCCTCGAAATGGTTTCCAGTACCTATCCTTCTACAAAAACTTTGATATCGGTTTACTCATTTTACGGGTGATGTATTCATATTCACTTTCGATAGTCATAATAAGGGCGATTTGATTAACTGAAACTGTTGAAATTTATGTGTAATGATGAATATCATGTTTTCAGAATATGGTGGAATGTTTCGCTCAAGCACACACTGCAACTCTTTCGTATTCACCTTTCAGAGACAACACACTTGTAACCTCATGAACTGAGTGAAAAGTAAAGGCGTTTACTAAGTAATTAATTGCCATCGAAAATGACTGTCATTGTTCTATAGACATACACTTCTGATATATCGGTACCGGTCACTAGGCCTGATTGAGATGATCTAAAACCAATCCATTGAACTATTTCATGTTAAAAAAATTTTGTGTTCATATCTGTTGTGCACCAGTGCACTCTTAGAAAATTTGGTCCCTTGAGTGAAATGTTACAAAATATTTTAATGTGATTTTCTTGATGGAAGGTAACAATGCAATCCAGGATGTACGTTTCATTTCCATTCGGAGTCTTCAAGTGATAAGAGATAGTATTCCTACTGAGGCTTGAACCGAGCACCTATCGCTTCAAATGCCATACAATTATCCACTAAAATACTCAGCCACATGTTTCAAGCACTTGGTACTGGATTCGGATTTCAATAGTTGCACCATTGACGTGCATCTTCATATATCTGATGACTCCCAACTAAAACAAGACGCTCATTCTGGATTTCACAGCTGGCCACAATATATTTTGTCTCATAATGTGGTGACTTACACTGAGGCTTCCAGATATTGAATTCTTTGTTGTACACCTGTACAATCTTCTGTGTCACTCACTTATGCTTAATATAGGTGAATTTATGCATGTTGCATTAAGATTTCTGCATAGGGAAAAAGGAAGGGGATTAACTCATATGTATTATTTGCTTTAATTTAAAATGGTTTCATTTTGCACTTCCCAGTTGATTCAGTTTAACCAACCAGATCTAGTATTGTTTGTTGGTGAAGCATTGGTCGGTAATGAAGCGGTTGACCAGTTGGTTAAATTCAATCAAGCTCTGTCTGATCATAGTTATTCTGATCGTCCTAGAACAATTGATGGTATTGTTCTAACTAAGTTTGATACAATTGATGATAAAGTGAGTTCATTTATTCCAGTGAAGAGTCTTTTCCTCAGTTTATGGTATATGTATTCCATGTTGATTTCAGCTGTTAAAACTGAAATTTGTCTTGTATTTCAACTACAATGTGAACAGTGTTTATGGATAGAAACTGGGTGAAAATTACGTTATATATTGTCGTCTATTGCAATGCCGTACATTCACGGTTTTAATAAATTGTTTTCAGTTAAACGGGATAATTTATAGAATAGTCATCCGTAACTAATCAGACGTGGAGCTGTGGCTCACTGGTTTGCTTAGTTGATTTTCAACTAGTGGATCACGGGTCTCAACACCTCTCTACCTACTGAGGTTTGGGCAGCCACGTGCTATCACTAGTCTTCACATAATAGGTTTTGTTCATAGCCTGTTGCATGGATATGCACAAAGTTACTGAGTGCGTTTCGGTTCGGACGAATCAGACAGATGTAGAACCCTGGGCATTGAAATTTGTCAATTGGTCAAACAGTACAATGTAGAAGCATCAACTAAAACAATACAATGAAGTATGAGGAAAGACGATGAGTAATTTCGATATGCTTCGAAAAACTTACATGCCATATTTAAAGATAAATAGCACGAATGTGCGCATTCTCAACTGTAACTGATTATTAGACCAAGTAATCCAAGTTCTTCAACCATTAGTATCTACTGTGTTAATCATTCTGGTTGACACTTCATAGTTCACTCTGATAAAAAAAATAGATAGCAACTTCAGTCATTCCCATTTCTTAAACTGAATAGCGCAAAATCTTCTGTATTCAACTTTTACTGAATCTTGTGTCTTATGTTTGACTTTCGTTGAAAGAATTTCGCATAAAATATCGTATTTAGAAGTTGTTTTGTGCACATCTATTTCTTAGTGAATCAGTGCGTTAAGCAAAATTTAGAGGCCATAAATTAGAAGCTGTTTAACAGACATTTTGAGACTGAACACCTGAAAACATATAATTGTTGAATAGATCAAGATGACACATGTCTCAAAGATACAGTGATACAAAACAAAATAGGGTAAACAAACGGTTGTAATGGACATTAAAATATTCAAGATTTGGAAGATTTAATCTCTAAGCTCACTAGCATAAGCAATTTCCAGGGTCATCTACAGTAGTCTGTAGCCACCAGTTCCTTAAATTCTGATAGCATCAATCACAATCCGTGTAATATGCAATACCATCTTTTTTCGTTCATCATTGGGCCAATGTAACTCTATTACCACACCGGTTAGCGTGATGTTCTGAGGTGAACGGTGGCTATTCATATGCAACACACTTCTGTCGATGCATACTCGACCTGTCCAACTGATACACCCTTTTTCGCCTAGGACTCTTTATCCAATATCATTACTCTTCGGTTCAGTTACACTTTGGAAGACACATTCAACTGAAAATACATAGTCCAACACTTGCTTTTTAACAGCCTTATTTCAACTATACTTGCTGAAATAAAGATAACTTATTCATATTGTGGTGAAGTGGTTCGTTGCCAGAAAGTTACTCCCATGCATACACGTTCATTGTGCTACTTCATGACTGTCTGATGTAGTGGACAGAGGTGATTGTCTTTAAATACCTGGAGGTATATGATGTTTTTGAACCCCGGAGTGGGCATTACTAATGCTGATCATATAATGCTGTGTAAAAAAAAGGAAATCCGTTGATAAGGTTATAAAATTATATGGAATTGAATAATTAGACCATGTGTTATTCAAGTTACTTGCCACTCCGACCACTACCCAAGTAAGAGTGGAAAGGAACTAATCTGAGAGTAAAGTATGATTAGTAGTGTAGTGCATAACTTAGTGTTCTTCCGTTGATCAGATATGTCATAAAATGAAACTATTATTCAGCGGATGGTGTTCTGAACGTGCTCCGTCACACTAAGCGAATTTGTTCAGTGTTCACTCATCACCTAGTTTAATATATTTTGTTCCTCTTAATAATTCCTACCTTCATACCTTCGAGAAGTTTGGCATCAGTACTAATAATAATTGTCAGTAATTTGGAAGATTAACTGCGTGAAGTTTATGAATGGACGTCCTTCGGTATAGCTTATTTAATCACAGATTTGTTCAGTTAGAGGTATAAACGGAAAACATTACGTGTTGAATGTAAATATTACATTCAGTTCTGACTATTCAGCTGCATTTTGACTCCTAATTGCATAGCAATCTGTTTACATTATTCTGTCCAGAAGAAAAGGTTCTTCAACATTTCTAGAGATTTCTACCTATGTCATTTAAGATCGCGATGAAAGAAGTTATTGACGAAATTCTCAGCTTTAGACTGATCTTTTATGGGATTGTATTATGAGCATGTATAGGACTGTGACTGACTGGTTTAGGCGCTCAATTTTCAACCAGTGGGTCATTGGTTTGAACTCCGTTCAACCTGTCGAGGTTTGGGAAGCTAAGTAGGATCATTAACCCGCATACAACAGGTGTGACTCGTTGCCTGTTGAACGAAAATGCACATGGTTGGTGAGTTGCCACCTTTCACTTTTCACATATGTGTATTTATTGCTTTCTGGTCGATATTAGCCGTTCGCCACTAAAATAAAGTCTACTCTTTTATCATATCACTTAACTTATTGGTTCACACTTCAGGGAATCAACTTTTTGGCAGGTGATCTACTTTTAGGAAATTTATTTCATGCTTACACTAAACTTGGTGGTTGCATCTTAATTATTAGTTACGATATTCACTTCAAAAAATAAACTGAATTTTTTGTTTCGTAGTTGTTGTTTTTTTCAGTAAAACTGTGCGTGTTTCTTTTCAGGTTGGAGCTGCTATTTCCATGGCGTGTATTTCCAACCAGCCTATTGTGTTCGTTGGCACAGGTCAAACATACTCTGATCTTCGTCAGTTATCAGTGAATGCGGTTGTGAAAGCTTTGATGAAGTAACTACCATCGCATGTCAATTAAAGTGTGTCTGACCCCACAGTTTTCATTTATTTTCTATTCCTTTTTTTTAATTTCATCCCAATGTTTAATCTATTATCGTTTCTTTTCATTTGTTCGCTTGTTTTGTGGATCATCTTTTGTTTGTCTCTTGTTTAGAGACACTGGCTCAAATCAATTGTAGTTTTTGTTCTTAGTGTTATTGTAGGAATTTATTCACACCCTTATTTCTTTATTTCTAACTTTCAATAGTCCTCATTACCTTCTTCGCCTTCCTTGCTTCACTGTTGTCACACATCTTTGCAGTTTATATTGTGCTGTACAACCATTACTGCTTATATATATATATATATATATATATATATATATATATATATATATGGCCTATGGGAACACTTATCAAAGAGTTTTGTTTTCTACTTTTCCTCATGTTATTTTGAGATAAATTCATGATTACCATCTGTGTTATATCATTACTTGAAGTGTTCTTTTATGTATTGCTTTGTTTTTTCCTCTCCCTTATGTATGTGCTTATAATTTAAGAGTAATTGTGATACACTTATTGTGTATGTGTAGTATGTGGTGTGATAATCCCTATATCACATACACATACACCTTTTATACATTGAGATGGTATTTGTTGTATCTTGTCTTCAACTTCTTTTATTGTTGAGATCAGATTATTGTTTCCTTTTTGTGTATATCTCACTGCACTTACAACTGGTTACGTATATTATTTTTAAAAAAAATGTATTTCCGGTTTGTAATTTTGGTTACATTTTTAGATAATCAGTTGATTGATGTAGGCACAACTTACAACCACTGTGTACATAGTTCGATTTCACTCTATTTGATATAATCAGGTGCATGCAGTACTTGCTGTTTAGAGCTTCTAAATTGATGACCAGGTTGAAAAGCTTAGGTGGTTCATATTCAAATACCGAGTGGAGTTGCAGTTGACTAATTCTTATGCAACTTCAAACCAAGCTGAAACTTAATGCCTTAGAAATCTTTGGGGACTGAGAAAATGATACTCTTGGTTGCGTCGCGTTCTCTAAGCTTGCTGGTGAAGCTTTCATTGCCTGCCTAGACATCATCATTACTAATTTCAATGTGAAGTGAGCTAATAAGATTTCTTCGTGGTTGATTCAATAGCTTGCTGGGACGAAGTGGGTTATGATCGGTGGCTTCCTTTGATTGTTGTATCATTGACAGCATAGACTTTCTTGTTGGCTATTTTTCTACCATTTTTCCTATTGCCTTATAGATCGAGTGTATGTCTTCACATCTGTTGATTGCTGACTGAACTGAATCCCAAGCTTATAGGAATTCTGTGATAATACAAACATTCAGGTCGTAGTTGTTACGAATGCCCTGAAAGAAGTTGATATTCTTTTTGTTTCCTCTATCCAAGATATCTTACACTTTCAATGTTGAGTTCATATACATAGTCGTCCACTTGCAGTGATATGAACAACAAAATGTTGTGGCGTCTATCCGTCAACTGATGTTTATGCAAATGAAGATAAAAAGGGTGATATTCGGTTTGTCTTCATTGGTTGTCGCGTCTTTTAGTCTGCATAATATAATTTTAAGAGAATTTGTTGGTTTATGAGCCACACAAATTCCAAAGAATATCAGTAGTCTTGTTGTCATCTCTGATGTTTTTGTGTACGGTAGGATGATCCGTTTGTTGATTTCTGTGGAGGACTTTGCAGTTGATGAACAGGATAGGTACATTTGGGTAGTTTCATGGGCAGCCATTCTTCTTTAGCATAAACAGTAAGTTTTCTTCCTTTCTCTGTAAATTTTTACTGTAGCATGTTCTCTATCTTTTGAGTAGCGTGTCTGTACGCGACTAGTTTTATGCGTTGCTGGTTTGTTGCTATATCGTCAGCGAAAATTACTGAATCACTAACAGCAAAATCTGGATAACTCACTTCATATTGAAGTTAGTGTTGATGATTTTGGAGAACACATAAGCAAGTCCATCCATCCAAGCTACAAATATTCTCGAGCATTTGAAAATAATATTCATTATCTTTTTATTTCTCATTCAATAAACATGAAGTTAAGTTCACAATTTTCATAATTATTTCAATGATACCATTTGATGTATTTTACCCATTTAAAATGAGTGTATTTCTTAAGTACATTTTGTTTACTATGCGTTTCGTACGTGCAAGATTGAGAAAAATCATCTCTTTTTGAAAACAAGTGAACTCATTTTACAGAGCACAGAGGTTTCGCCTGTAGCTGACGGCCATGAATTGAAATGGTAGATTACTGCATAATAAGTATTATTAGAATACTATTTATTCCTCAGAGTTGACCAATTCGTTTCAGTCGTGTCTGTAAATTGATCGCTAAGCTAAATGTGTTGTGTGTTTTCTCACCACCGGTCTTGTTTTCGCCACGTAGTCTATAAATTGCTGACATTTTTAGAATTTGTTTAGCATTTCCATTATTGAGTTTAAACCATGGAAGCACAAGATATTTGAAAAAGCACAGTTTTTATCCAGTTGTTTTGCGCATAAATTGTAGGGTTCATAACCCGTTAACTTTTCTATTCCAAAACGTTTGAGTCAAAGTGTGACACAAAAATACTACTTTAATTCACCTCATGTTGATATATAGATTTAACTAATCGAATCAAAGTTATCTAAACACCAGGTCTTCTCATTTGCAATAAGGCTCATTAGCAGTTCAGTTCACAGGCCTGAGGACTCAGTGTTATTGGATGGACATGTCATATCAGTTATTCAACATCAGTATGGGACCTAGCAGTAATGCCTAACAGTGCAAGTTGCCACATCTCACGTCAAGATACAAGACACTAATATGTAAACGCTGATTGTAGAAAGTCATAGCTAAAGAGGAAGAACGGACAAATAAGTAGTAACGGGATATTATATGACGATTCTAAGCCTTATCATCTCCTGTTGTGGAATCATATACTACCGTGCACGTTATTCTGAAAAAAGCAGGAAGACAGGTATGAAGGAAGGAATGTTTATGGACTACAAGTGGGACAGTAGTCGTTAAATGGTACACCTTGCACTAAAACAATCATTCTCAGAATATGCTTCACTTCCTCTTCTGCTTATTCCTTGATTTGCACTTCATACGCCTGCCTTGTTTCTTGCGTTTCTCTTGGCGGAATCCTTGCCCATTGCTGGTAATTCCCTGTGATTTCTGCCACCCTCTCAACGTATACTACTTATGTTCATTCTTATCAGCAACACCCACCACAATTCTCGGAAACTAGCACCCTATTGGCAGGTAGCCAGCATATTATTACGTAGGACGTGTGCACTTTATTATGCTGGTCAGTGAGTAGAAAACTTCATTTATGACTATGAAATTGACTTAAGATCTTATTCACACAATTGTAAATGATTACATAGCTTATTTATTATTTTCGTTACGTGACTATGGCTTAAGTTGTTAGAAGTAGTCAACTAGTATTGGAACGCTCAGCAGTTACATGGGGCTAAAATGTTTCATCAGAATTTGAGAATGATGTTCAGAGATCAATTATTGAGAAACGATGAGATAATTTTAGGCTTATGTATATACGCTATGAACCATGATAATGACAGATTCCGAATACTAAACTTATCCATCATCAAAAGAAAGACAGTGTTGGGTTGATAAAGTCTACTTCAAATGACGGGAATGACAATATGTGTACACCTTAGTCATTTATTTCCAGTGAAAGTAACCTTGAGATAAAAAAAATAATAAACCAATACTTTAAGTGCTACCAGTGAGAATTCAGCGTTGCGAAAACCACTGGGTTCTAAAAGTCTTGAAAAAAGAGGAAATTAGATTTTATAAAATTATTTTTTACAAAGCTATCAACAATCGACTTTAATTCATAGGATTAAGATATTCCTGCATAGAAGTATGTTTCATCTCCCCTAAAATATCAGACGTTTCATTCCGAGAAATATCGTGTGCACTTTGCGTTATAAGAAATTCAGTAATTTCTGGTTGAAGTGACATCAAACTGCAGTGTCACCACAATAGCATTGATAAGTGTATATCTTCTATCTCTTAGTGTAAAATCATTGATTATTAAGTTATAAATGCTAGTGAAAACAGATAAAAGGATACTCCAACGCTATAGTTAGGCATTTTATAGACCTTGAATGGTAATTTTTATCTTAAAAAGTCTCTCAAATAGATGATATACATTTATCCTCAGAATCCGTTTCATAACTTCTTCACTTTTATCCTACAAGTGTATCTTCTCACTTATAAATTCTTCTTTCATCCCCTACTTTGCAGTGACATCTCCAAAACTGTATGCCAGATAAGTAGCTGTAAATAAAGTTGGAAATGACCACAACCATATCATCAATATAGTAATTTCCTCCTTGCATATAAATCACACAAAGAACAGTAACACAGAGGTAGTGTACAGAATTTTTAAGTGAAATTGAAATTCAAGTCATCGTATATGCTTAAGAAACCAAAGGTATCACGTGAACATATCAAATCAATACAATACCTAAATAATCAGCATGGTTTTGATCAGTACATCGGACGCTATATCTGTGGCTAGTTTCAGAACTGGACATGTATAAACCAGTGGTTGATATCTTGTAGTGATTCAGCCTTTTGTCTAAATTGAATCGATATCTACAAGTCTAATAATTTGTGTTTAGATGATGTTTTTTTTGAGAAATATAAACATTATCAGTAAAAGAATAAGTTTCACTGCTTGTGTGCAAATGGTGTATAGCAATTTAATTGCTGATAAGATTAACTGAGGCAACAGTATTGTGACAGACTGATATAGTTCATACGCAAACTGAAAGCCATGACCGGAAGTCATTGATTCAAATACTGTCATGACCCATGATTTCATTTAATCTTCTATCACCATTCCATATCAAATTCACATGAAGGCAGCTTTGCATATACTACTGACGGACATGAATAGGCCGAGACTACACTCATTTTTTGTAGATCATCGATCAATCGTTTAACTTGTATAGAATTGAGCTCTCTATCAGTGTACCACGACCAAATCACTTCAAAGAGTCAAGTTGTACAAGCACATTGAAGTGAAAGATGGAAGTGTAATACTTATATTCAAATCAGGTGTCTGCATGGGTACTCAGTACATGGTGTAATTGAGACAACTGGATGCAATCCTAATAGATTTTGGTTTTGATTCCAATCCAGTTGGTCACCACCACTGACAGTGTTTGTAACATCTAATCACTTATGCTAGTCAGCAATGTATTGTTCAGCTATCCCCTATTTATTACACCATATTGATTGTCAAACAGACCACAATTTGTGGTTTAAAAATGTTGACTTCTACAAGAATTAATCATTGAGTTTCCCACTTCTATATAGACTAGTTTCGCTGTATTCAACACATGCTTTCCTAGCTTAGTTACCTTCTGGCAACAAACTAGCATATAATACACCAGATCTACAGTGTATGCATCTCTAAACTTGCTTTAAGTTTCCAGAAACGAATACTTTGTACCTATGTAGAGTAAAGGAAGTAATGTCATCCATTCAATATTCTCTGAGAGAATCTTATCTGAAATCATTTTTATTGTTCTCATGAAGCCCGAGTGATTCAATTTCGAATTCTTTCAAGTGTCCGAGCCAGATTTCGTGTGAGTGAAACACAAACGCCTATTTTCACTTTTTCATGAAGGCTGATATACATGAACTAAGTGTTAACTGAGTCATTGTCAGAAAGTCCGTGACAGATTTGTTATGAAAACACTACTTTGATGGGAGGAAGTTGTCTAAAGTTGAGAACGAATCTGGTTAACATCCAAGGTACGTTACTTATGTTTTCGAAAACTGGACAGGGTAGTTCGAATAATGTTGTCTA